GTTACACATGTAACCTGTTTAATAAATAGGTCTGGTTAGTGTTGAGATTTTTTACACGAATATTAAACAATTCGTGTTCGGATTGAGTTATTTAATAAAATATCCTTACGTCGACACGGCACGATTATGATCCATAAACACAAATTACCACCTCTAATAAAAACTCATTCAATTAAACAAATAATTTAGAACAATTCGTCTAAATATTATTACTCTTTAATAAATGAGGGCTTAAAATGATTCTAAACAAGTCCTTATCTAAACTTTAAACGTACAAGTGAAACAACGCACCGTTAATTGGTGGAGGAATGTACAACACCACCATTGTGCACTATGGCCGCAAATTAAGAAAGCAAGAAACCCGAAATGGGCGGCTTGGTGGTGTTTTTTACTTTTATTATAAGTTCCCACTACACGGGCGATCCCGACCAAATCTACCCCTCACATTAATTAATGGAAGTTTTTTTTACTACCAAAAATGCCCTCGTGATTCTTAAGAGTTTTTACAAGAAAGAGTCCAATGCATCAAATGACAAACTTGTACCTTATGTTGCTTGCTATATTGTTTGGATTTTGAAACAATTAATAAGTGTCTTGTTGTAATTGTATGAGTGATTGGGTTAATTCTTGTGTCTGCAAATTCATGTTAATTTTTTTTTTTTACTTTAATAAATAATTAATAACTCCTAACATTAGTTTTTTAAAAAATTAAAATTAATTAATATAAGATCAATAATAAAAATCGACCAAACCATGAAGATTTTTAAATGCTTTCAAAGCATTAACTCGTTTCCATGATTTTGAATTGTCGACTCTTTATGTAAGTTAAATTGTTATGTGAGCTTATCATTACTCTACAAATAATATTTACTTTCTAATAATTTTTTTTTAATTTTTATTTATTTTGAAAGTAAAACAAATACACAGGCTCGCTATATTTATATTCTCTTAAATATGTCATGCACAAAAGTTATTAGTCACTTACAAAGTTTCAGGGGTATGTCATGCTTGAAAAAACTTTGATGGCTATTGAAATTAGAAAAAAATTAAGTAAATGAAAAACCAAAGAGAGATAATTATAATTTTATGAAAAATAAATAAATCTCTTTGTTTGGTGAGTACATAGGAATAAAAAGAGAGAAGAAATAATATTGCATTTGGTTTGTGATTTACTTAATCAAGAAAAGAAAAAAAAATAGTTCTTTTATCTTTTTTTCTTTCTTCTAGATTTTGATTTTTAACCTTTAAAATAAGTGAATAACACGGTCTTTAAAATTGTGAAGAGAAGTGTCCAAATCAAAGAAGTGATACCTACCCTATGTTCCCCTTATTGGTTCCTAAGACAAAATCAAATACTTGCTTTTTGGTTATACAGTTAGACCATATTTGGTATGAGTGAACGGAATCAAATGAAGTGGGAATGGAATACTTTTGTTTCCATTCTTTAGTTTTATAAATAATTTTAAAGTTAGAATAATGATTTCTCACCATTCTCCAAGAATGGTGATTCCCACTAATTCATTCAACTTTCCAACTAAAGGAATGGCCATTCCATTCCCACTTTAAAATAATAATAATAATAATTGAATTAAAAAAAAAAAAACATTTGATGAACTTCAATACGACTGCTATAACGTTCTTCCCCTTTCTCTTCATCGGAGAACCATGACTGGTTTTTGGTCTCACAAGGGTGAAGTTTTGCCATCTCAAATTAAAGATGAGAAACCACTATACCCTAGTGCCGCACAGAAAGAAGCCACTTTACCCTAGCGACGCACAGAAAGAGCCAATTCATATGTTGGGAAGCCAGAAATTTCCTCTTTTAAAGGAAGTAAAAGCTACATTCGGATTAACGAGGACTATGGGTATGCCTTAAGGCAATAAGGGGGTGTCAATAACAATAATCTAATCCTTTCTGTTTCAGATTTGGAAGCTCTTCGACTGGGTTTGAGGTTTTCTCTTTCTCAGCCTTACTAATCATTAAACCATCCTGTTCATACTTCTGAGAGATTGCTTTCAGAAAATGGCTCTTATCTAATACAAATCCAGGCACCAAACGATACATTGATTTAGAACCCTAGGGTTTGTGCAATTTTGTGAAGGAATTTTGATTGATTTGTGTGGCTTCGTGACCCGTTAGTCCGCGACGGAGGTGGTTGCTCCTCTATTTGTTTTTCTCTTCTGTCCGGCGGAGCTTTTGCGACGAGAGTTATGGTTGTTGGGGTGATAACCGGCTATACACACACACACACACACACACACACACACACACACATATATATATATGAATATATTTTTTACAAAAATAGAATGTTTGGTTGTGGTTGTGGGGTGGAGGTCCGATGGTGGGTGAGATTTGACAGGCATTTTTAGAGAGAAAAAAAAAAAGGCAAGAAAGAGGTTTTTCTGTGCAACCAAACATGAGAATGGAATGGTTATTCCATTCCCATTCCATTCTCTGATTCATTCAATTCCCACTTCATTTCATTCAACCACACCAAACATGGCCTTAATGTTATGTATAAAAGTTTAATGTGTTTTTTTATATATATATTTATTATCTGGCAATGGTTAATAATGGTTAACAAAAAGAAGATTCAAATTTAGGGCTCGGAGCATAGGGTAGGCTACTGAAGGGTTGTTTTTTTTTTTTTTTTAACACCAAACAGAGAGACAATTCATTGAGAAAAAGAAGAAATACAGTCCAAAGACAAAGCATCTGAAAGCCATTTAGGCCAGACACCCCACTCCAGATCGCCACATTAGGCCGCCAAGGCCATTTTGCGCACTAAATGAGCAACACAATTAACATTTCTAGGAACCCATGCCAAAGAGGACCCTTGACAAACAGATAGCAAATGAGAAACATCAGCAAAAACAACATATAAGGCCTTACTCGAAGGTTTAAGTTGCATCACCAGCTGGCAGTCCCCTTCAACAATAACATTTTGATAGCCTCAGAGATGGATCAACAAAAGACATTCGTGTAGGACGAGGCCCTTAGCCATAGAAGGACTACCAACATTAAAAAGAAAACAAAGGCCATTTTCACAGGTTGCCCAAAAGGATTTCTGAGAATCAAACCACCCTCACATAGTTTCTGAGATTGATTAAATGTAGCATCAAAATTAAGTTTGAAAAACCCCAGGGGTGGAGAACACCATTTCAGAGGAGGAAGAACCGGCGTGGAAGATGAAAGCGAGGAAGAAAGTAACCGAGACTGCCAAAGAATCTCCTGAAATTCAAAGAAATCCTAGAGAGCTTTTTGAACTACCTCAAAAGGGTCCCAACGACGTTGATTAAAAAAAAGATCATTTTTATATTTCCAGAGAGTCCAACAAATAAAAGCCACAAGACTAAGGCACTTTGAAGGACAATCAGACGGATGCCATTTCTCAGTAAGATCCACCCACCTCTTAGGCCAAAATGAAGGGCAACAACCCCCAAAATCCAATCGCAGTGGACTTAACTTCCAAACCATGGAAGCAAAATGACATGTACAAAGTACATGATCAACCGTTTTAACTAGCTTATATGTAAGAAGGAACCATAAACTCACAACACACAGGAGAGCAAAAAATTAATAGGGATACGCTCATATACACTTTGCTAAAGAAAAAAGAGAATTTTTAGGGGAGCTTGAATTTTCCAAATGTTGCACCACGTACTAGATTTGGTAGCATCAAAGCTACAGCCAGCTTGTGAAAAAACATCAGACTTTTTGTTCAAAATGGAGAGCACATTGTGATAAGCACTTTTAACCGAAAAGACCCATCTTTGGAAGCTCCCCAGACTTTACAATCCACACCCCCTCTGATTGTGATAGGAATTTGAAAAATAAGGCCGCAATCTCTCTTATTGAAGCTACTGAAGATCAGACCTTTATCACTGAGGCACGACCGATACACTCATAAAAATTTAATATGAAATAATAAATTGAAATTTAATTGGAGATAATTCATTTTGTTCAAAAGAGGGTTGGTAATAAATCGTAAAAACTAAATGAAGACGAAACTAAAAAGTCAAAAGAGGAAGAAGATAATACTCTAATCTTCTCCTTCTTTTTTATGAAGTATCCATTTTTTTTTTTTTTTTTTTGGCGGTCTTTAAATAATTATAGAGTCATGATATTAAGGACTCATTTGTTAGGCATAATTTATGTGGTACAAAAAAACAAATAATTTATAGCAGTGGCTCATGTTGATTCATTACAAAGTATTCAAATTTTAATTTTATTTAATTTCCAATACCCTAATTGTTTCTATTAGAAATTTAATTCCTTCTTTAATTATCTCCATTTTCTTTCCTATAGATGTATTTTTTCCTTTATGGATTTGATAGGTTTAATGGATCGTAAAATAAGAGACGATACCCAAAAGATAAAGGTAATATAAGTAACATTTAGGACTCCATTGTCACCCAATGGTGAGGTCTAACCACATTTGGCACAAGAAAAATCACAGCCCCAATCTGCTAATCCAAAACCACCATCCACATCCAAGAATTCAACTAAGTTTAAAGGTTTGGACTTAGTTATTGACCTCTTTGCTCACAAGATGTTTGTCTCAGATTGTTGTGATGTACCAACTAAATCTATTCCAATTAGCAATTCCTTTGGTTCTTTGGGAATGAATGACACTACTGAGGAACAAGAGTCCCTTGCTGAAGATGACCATTTTTCAGAGGAAGATGATGACACTGTTACTGCTTCAAACCATAAAAATTATTATCCTTCTTACTCTCCCATCCTCAATAAGGCACTCAAATCTCGAAAACCAAACCAAGGAAAACACTCCAAAGTCAGCAGAAAGCCTAAAATTGCAAAGCCTTGTTTATCCAATGTTGCTACCCTTAAGGGGTTTAGGGGGTTATGTAAGCTCATTACCTCCTCCCAATGATTTGGGCTGCTTGGAATGTACGAGGGCTGAACTTCCCGCTCAAACAAGTGGAGGTTAGGAACCTTATTACATCACATGATCTTTGTCTCATTGCTTTATTAGAAACAAAGATATGGCAAGAGAATGTTGCTGTAGTTCGCAGAAATATTGCACATATATGGAGTATAGTTTGTAACTATCAGTACTCTACCCTTGGGAGAGTTTGGATCCTGTGGAATCCAATGCTGGTGTCTGTCTACCCCACATTCACGAATGGTCAAGTGATTAATTGTTCAATTTGGATTCACAGTTTGAACACAAAATGTTTGGCTTCTTTTGTTTATAGAGCCAACACTGTTGTTAAAAGAGTTGCTCTTTGGAAAGCCCTACACATCCACAATGAGCCTGGAGGACCATGGATCCTCATGGGTGACTTCAATGTTCTACTTCATGTGAATGAATCTTTTGGGGGTGCCAATAGATGGACTAAAGGGATGTTAGATTTTAAGGAATGTTTGCACAAAAATGAGTTAGAAGACCTGAGATTCACTGGCATCCAGTTTACCTGCACCAATAATAGCTTTAGGTGTGCTAACATATCAAGGAAACTGGATAGGGTTTTGGTAAACCATGTATGGATGAATAGGTTTACTCAAGCTACTTGTGAATTTCTACCACATGGTGTGTCAGACCATTCTCCTATAATTGTTGTTCTTGGTGAAATCTTTCCTAGAAGGAATTTACCCTTTAGATTCTTTAATTTTTAGGTACTTAATGAGAAGTTCATTGATATTGTTTTCCATGGTTGGCAAAATGAGGTTTTTGGCACTGAGATGTTCAATGTGGTACAAAAGCTGAGAGCATTAAAATATCCTTTGAAACTACTTAACAAGAGAGCTTTTGGTTCTATGGTGGATATCTACAGAAAGGAGCTGTCACAGTGCCAAGCTAATTTGGATCTCAATCTTGCAAATGACCATCTTCGATTACAAGAAAAGGATTTGGCAGTTAAGTTCAGTGAACTTTGTTTGGCTGAGGAAATTTTTTACAAACAGAAAGTACAAATCCATTGGCTTAAGGTTGGGGACCAGAATATTTCCTTCTTTATGAAATCATTCTCATCCAAAGCTAATAGAAGGAAGGTGGTTTCAATTGAAGACTCATTGGGGAATACTATCCAAGGTTTGGATTTAAGGAATGAATTCCTCAATTACTTCCAAAACCTTCTTGGTCAGAGCTATAGCACCTATCCAGGTATGTCCTCATTCTCTAGTATTATTACTGTGACTATTCCTTCTAGCCTCATCCCTATCCTCACTGCCATACTAACACACCTAGAAATACAGAAGACCAAGCTTTCATTCAACCCCTACAAAAGCCCTGGTCCTGATGGGTTTAATTCATGCTTTTTCACCCATGCTTGGCCAATTATTGGCCAAGATATCACTGAAGCAATACATGATTTTTCATTTCAGGAAGAATGTTTGCTGAAATAAATTGCTCATACATTGCACTTGTCCCTAAGACACTTAACCCTTCATATGTAAGTGACTTTAAGCCTATATCCTGCTGCAACATCATTTACAAGTGCATCTCTAAACTATTTGCTTCCAAACTCAGCCTAGTTCTCCTTTTAATTATAAACCCTGCCCAAAATGCCTTTATCAAGGATAGACAAATCACTAACAATATTCACCTTGCCTATGAGTTGCTCAATGGATACCACAGAATTAACCATCCTCCTTGTTGCACAATGAAGATAAACCTTAAGAAAGCATTTGACACTCTTCATTGGCAATTCATTTTGGATACACTCCAACTTTTTGGCTTCCCACCACAATTTATAATTAGATCAATCAATGTATCTTTACTCCTTCTTACTCCATTTCTTTAAATGGGGAGCTTTTTGGGTTCTTTAAGGGTAAGAGAGGTGTTCGGCAAGGGACCCATCTCCCCCTTGTTGTTTATTCTTGCAATGGAAGTTATGTCTCTTTCCCTTGCAAATGTAATCTCAAATAACCCTTGTTTCAAGTACCACTAAAGATATAGTAAAGCTTTCCATCTCCCACCTTGCTTTTGTTGATGACTTGCGGCTTTTCTCCTTTGGTAATGTGGCTCAAGTCCAAGTACTTCACAATACACTATCAAATTTTCTCCTTATTACAGACCTCTCAATCAATTGTTCCAAAAGTCAGGTTTTCTTCTCTGGTGTGGATAGGCAGACTAGAATTCAAATTCAATCATTGCTACAATTTGACACTGGAATGCTTCCAATTACCTATCTTGGGCTACCACTTTCCTCCTCAGCAATTAATGCAACTGACTGTCAATCTCTTATCCACAAGATTACAACTGGATTTAGCTCCTGGACATCAAGATTCCTTTTATATGCTGGGAGAGCAGTTTTGATCAAGTCCATCCTTCATTCCATTCAAGCATACTGGTCCCAAGCCTTCATTATACCTATAAAGGTTATAGATAATATCAACCAAATTCTAAAAAGGTTTTAGTGGTCTAGTGTTGAACTCAAGAAAAGTGAGGCAAAAGTTGCATGGACTGCCATATGTAGACCTAAACCACATGGTGGCCTTGGATTTGACTGTATTGAAATAACCAATAGAGTTTCAAACCTTAAACATATTTGGAAGATTTGTTCTACAGGAAGGAGCTTGTGGGTGGACTGGATCTATAGGTATCTTATCAAAAACAAAAGTTTCTGGACAATCAAAGCTAACTCAACCAATTCTGGCTTTTGGAGGAAGCTCCTCAAACTTAGAGACATGGCGAGAAGGTTGATCAAACATAGAGTTGGAGCAGGCATGGATACTATAATGTGGATTGATTTTTGGTTACCAAATGGTCCACTATGTTCTTAGCTTTCTAAGATGGAAATTCTTCAACTTGACAAAATGTTAAAGTAGATAGCCTAATTTCCAATACTCAGTGGGTTATTCCAGCCTCCCTTCAGCACATATAATTCCTACAGTCACACTCCTTCGACTCCCAAATCCAAAGCATGCAACCTCCATCCTCTGGTTAGCAAACAAACGGAGACTCTACACTCTTGATACCAAACCAATGAAGCACAAGCACTACACCAATGCCTACTATCTTTGTATATCTGATTGGGAATCAATTGATCATTTAATCTTCAAGTGCAAATTCAGTATTCTCATTTGGGAGTTCATTCAAAATGTTTCTGGATTCTACTTCAGACATGATTACTGGGCTGATCTTATCTCATGGTGCTCAACTACATGGTGCAACAAATACTTCATTATCCATAAGTTCATTCTGTTTGCTGCTATTTACTTCATTTGGATCGAAAGAAATGCCAGAGCCTTTAGGAATAAATCAACCAGTGCTCAACACATCATTTGTCTTATTAAGGGCTGCATCAGAACAAGGCTTGCTTTAATGGCACTGAGGAAGAGGATTAAGCTCTACCAGAAAAAAAAAACTATGGAAGAATTACATAAACTTTTCCTTAAAGGCTGTGCTTTTGTAGGAGGTCACTCATGGCACCTATCAGAGTAATTCATATCACATTCGCTTGGTTAATGTTGTCAGTTTGCCTTATTGTTGCTCTTCTGAGCAGTTATTCATGACCTATGGTTGATATTTAGAGCAGTTTGTTCCTGCTGCTTAGGTTGGTTGTGGAGGTTTGTTCATGCTACTGCTTAGGTTGGTTGTGGATTTGTATTATTCTCTTTTTCTCTATGTTTTGTTGTTTCTCCCCTTAGATGGGATCCTTGTACATTCTTTTCTTTCTTCAATAAAGCTTACCCTTTAACTAAAAAAAAAAAGAACCATTCAGGACTCCATTAACATTGATTCTCTACAATACAATTTAATTTTAGGGTAATTTGCACTCACACCCCCTCAGGTTTGCAATAAGTACAGGTAGATACAACTTTGGGAGAGTGTGATTCAATTACTCCCTCAAATTTGCAAACTTGAACAATAACATCCCAACCATGATAAGAGTACCTAATTGCCCTATAACTTCTGAATTAACCCATTTAATTATTAAAGTACAATATTAACTTTTATAGGTCCTTTTATTTGACCAAAATGACCCTTAGCAAAAAAATAATAATAATAAATCAAACTCCACCACTGTGGCCACCAATGCCATATGCATACAAACACAAGCGGACCCAGGAATTTTTAATTGGTAGGGCCAAACTAGTAATGTAAAATAAAAATTTTAAAATAACTTAAAATCATTGTAAGACATTTTTTTGTGCAAGTTTAATGTATATTGTTAAAATGTGTCTAAATAATATGCAATAAAATTTAAAAGAAAAGTTGTCGATCGAATCATTATTGTTATCAAGTGAATAATTTTTTTTTCTTTACAATTCATAACAAATAATATTTATGTATGTGTGTGAATATATGTGTGCGTAATTATAGTATGTTATAAGGATTACCATAATAATTAATTATTATTATTATTTTTTTAACTAAATTTGATCTTTTATAGCAAGAGGTCTATTGGAATTTGAAGGGATTAAATGTAATTTTATTATTAAACTACAATCAGGGAACCATATAGATTTTTTAAAATATATATATTAGAGAGATCAACTTTAATTTTTATATAGAAAATAACTATTAGTACCTATGATTTAGTACCATAAATTGAGTGTTACAAAAAATTTGAAGGGCCAACTTTAATTTTTATGTAAAACATTACCATAAATAATATTAATTTAATACTTTTATAAGGTTTTGCAAAAGAATTGTGGTGGAATATGTTTTTTTTTTTTTTTTTTTTTTTTTTTTTTTGACAATAGCCATTTTGGTCAAATCAAAGGACTTATAAAATGTTAATATTATACTTTCATGATTTAAATGTGTCAATTCAGGAGTCAAATGGCAATTACGTACTCTTATCATGGTTTGGGGTATTGTTGTTTAAGTTTGCAAACTTAAGGGGGCAATTGGATCGCACTCTCCCTAAATTGTGTTTACCTATCTTTATTGTAAACCTAAAGAGGTGTGAGTGCAAATTACCTATCTTTATTGTAAACCTAAAGAGGTGTGAGTGCAAATTATCCTTAATTTTATTAAGATAATTAAATTATAAAAAGCATACAAAATCCTCAACAACCACTTTAGAGTCCATTAACAGTTATTCTCTGCAATACGATTTTATTTTATTAGAATTTTATAAGTAGGCATCAAAAATTGAAGAGAGAGAAGGGGACCGAGAAAAAAAGATAAAAAGGGAAAGATTCACCCTCTTGGGTGAAGATGAAAATGAAAAAGGATACTAAAAAAACAGAAAAGAGATAAACTTAATAATTATCACTTTTAATATTGTGACATAGCATATCCCCGTAAAATAAGCCAGAAAAATCAATTTACCTCTTCTGTGTAAGTATCATTTTTCATAATTATACTAATTCAAAATTTAATATAATATTTATTTTAGTGTTTCTAATTTACCTTTTGACCTTTATGTTATAAAAACATGTGAAACATAAGGAATGGAGAGAATAATATTTTATCCGGTTTCGTTACCTTTTTCGCTCTTCTCTTCCATAAGTTTCTGCGCTCTTCCATATGTTTCTGCGCAAACTTAATTCTTTTAATTGAATCCTAGCAAACTCCAAAGAAACTAAAACAACATGGCAAATAATTAAATAAATAATTAATTAAACAATACAAATATAAACAAGTTGATTAAAGGTTCTATAATCAGATCGTAACATTTTGGTAAAAAAAAAATGGTTTTTGAAGTTATTCTAGTCAAACTGTGAGAGATACGGATGGCCATGGCATATTCTTATAATCTGTTGATAACATAGCAAATAATAAAAAAGAATCCAATTATAATATAAACAAATTGATGAAAGGCACTACAATCAGATCATAACATTTCGGTTAAAAAAATGGAAAGGGAGCTTTTGAAGTTATTCTAGTATGATTCTAGTAGGGTCGTTAATTTAATCTGTGATGAGTTTGGTATCATCGTAACAAGGTTATGGACGAGTTTGAAAAGAGAGTTTAAAATCTAAATATATATATTTTACTTTGGTCGAGGAACGGAGTCAGGATTTTAAGTTAGGGGGGCACACTGCAATATATCTATATATATATACATATTATGATAAATATAAAATATAAATGAAAAAAAAAAAATTTATTCAAATATGCACATTAAAAAGAATTTTGAAAATTGGAAATAGAAAAAGAAAAAGAAAAGAAAAATGAGAAAACTGTAAAAAAAATAAAAATAAAAATAAAAAATAAAAATAAAATAAAATAAAATTAGAGTTTGAATGAAGAAGGAAACTTTTTTTTTTTTTAAAAAAAAAAAAAAAAAAAAACAAATTAAAAGATTTTGAAGAATAAAATATAAATTAAAGAAAAAGTTAAGAGATAATTTTAGAAACTAAAAAATTTAGGGACTGGCTCAAATGAGTGAATGAATTTTTTATGATTTTTTATTTTTAACCCCAATATTACATTCTATTTGAAATTCATAATATAGAAGTATATAATTAGTTGATATCCTTTTAGAACTATCTATAAGTTTGAAATTATGCGTATTTAAATGGAAAGAATTTAATAAAGGAAAAATAATTGATATTGTATTTCTATATTTGCTTAATTCCGTATTGGACTCAAATCAAATATTTCTTTACCAAGATAAAATATATTGTAATTACAGCTCAACTACAAAAACTCTCGTGAACTCATTCCTTCGGATTGCTTGAATCTGAATTTCAAGTGTCTAAAAGCTTTCTAACTACCATGGAAAAGCTAAGTTCATTCTATCTCCTCTGTTTTCTCTCTCTAGCCATACTCCTCCATGCCAACCAATCTCAGCCGTTGAATCTCCTAACCATTGACCCACCAAGGCCACAGATTTCATCCGTATCAAGCGCAACGCAACTTTACACCCTGAGCTCTGCTACACCTCGCTCTCCGGCTTCACCAAAGCCATCCAGGAGGACCCGGCTCAACTGGCTACTGTGGCCATAGTCGTCAGCCTCTCGAAAGTCAAGCACATGGCCAAATACGTCGCCAACATCTCCCGCCATGCCGACACGGGCGGCAACAAGAGACTCGCCTCCGCCCTCCATCTCTGCTCCAAGGTGTTGAGCGTGGCCGTCGACGACATTCGCCATTCGCTCAGGCTGATGAAGCCTTTTTGCCGTCCCTTGCCAGTCGCAGCCGGTGGGGTCCCAGATTAGCAACGTGCAGTCGTGGATGACCTCGGCGATGGCGTACCAAGATACGTGTATGAGGATACAGCAAGTGGCATGGGCCGGATATAGTTCGCTGGAACGGGATCGGGTCGAAGAATTGAAGTAGGATCTATGCCAAAACGCCCCGGAATGGGCCGAACCTGGGGGATCCACTAAGGAAGATCAAGCCCAGAAGGAAGAAAACTTTTGAATATAGGCCCAATATAATCAGTTAACAACAATAATGGTAATGGCCTATAAATAGACCATTACAGGTGGAAAATAGAAAAGAGAGGATTCTAGAAAGAGAAAGAGAGAGAAAGAAAGAAGAAATGAAATCTTGTATCTTCAATTGGCACCGTCTGTGGGAATCGAGGACGAAGATCAATTCGAGCCCGATCAATACCATATTAGTTCAATCGAGTTTGTGAGTACACAGTGTGGTTTCTGGAAGTTGAATCCAGATCAGTGAGATTGTAGTTTGTTCAGAGAGAATTCTTGCTTATTGTGGATTCTGAGGCATTTGCTTCGGAATGATGCAATTGTGATTTGCTCAATTGCAGTCAGATCTGGTGAGTTCAAAGCTAGAAA